AAATTATCGCAACAAGAATGCCTTGCCGAGTTACTGTCTGTTTTCGGCAACGAAGCGCCACATCAGTCAACAATTTCCCGTTGATATGAAGAATTCATGGACGGGTGAGTCTTAGGCCCGTATCGTCAGTCGTCCCTACAATTGTAGGGCGCCTTTATGGCCTCCTTGATTGTCATAGTTCTCTACTTCTCCGTGTCAGCGCTCTATTTTGAGGTTATGTCACAAACATCTATTTGCATCAAATTGTGCTTGCTTTTGAGTTATATCATGTTTTATCAGCCTGAAATTTCCTACAATTTGAAAAGAAAACATATCCTCACAATAGGAGAGCGCTGTCGCTGACACGGGACGGATGCAATCTAGAAATTTTTGAAGGAGAGAAAGCAGTATGACAATCAAGGAGGCCATAAACGCGCCCTACAATTGTAGGGACGACTGACGATACGGGCCTTAGCGACGATTCCAGGGTGGGTGCACCAAAAACGGCAGTCACCCAGGAAAACTCATCATTGAAGATAAACATGTGACATATCGCGAGATTGAGGAGTAAGAAAATAAGTTTGTCGTTGGATACCCCACCTGTTGACTGAAGAGCAGAAAGCAGCCAGGGTTAATAGGATCAGTAGAAATATATAAAATACCTCAGCCTTTCTGAAAAAGAATAAAGACTATGAGAGTCAAGGCCATAAAGGCGTCCTATTGTAGGAATGAGTGGCGATACGTCCTTGAATTTTCACGCATAGCTTTTTTCAGCGTCACATCATTTGGGAAGGATTCTGTAAATCTAATTGAACAATAACAAAACACGACTTCAGAAAAAATAATACAGTCTCAAAAGTAGCGATTTTCCACAAATTATTGAAAATGGCGATAACTCAAAAACCGTGCACAATCGGATAAGAACATTTATGGTTTTTTTTGCTCCATGATTTTTGGGACACCCTGTATGATCAAATCGAATCCAGTATCCTGTCTGTATTATAAACACGTGTAACAGAAGGATAATCTTCCATCGTCACCTGACATGACATCGTAAGGGTACAACGTACAAAAAATTGTTGATTTTTACCGATGATTTTCATGAACAAGTTGTAATGGCGATACAATACAGTTCACGAAGCTCGCGTATTGTGCGTCGGTTGTCGAGCTTCGACCAAAACGAACTTTCTCTCCTCGTGGAAGTAACCTGCTGCCAGTATACGGTACGGTTGTAGAGCTGGGTGCGTTCTCGACGAAACAGAATTGAAGAATTTCGGTGCTCGCAAAAACGAACTAGTTCTAAGAACTAGTTCGCGAACGAACTGCTTTAGTTAGTAATTGATTGGGTAACTGCTTCTGAACACATCGTATTGTCGCTCACATGGTAGATATAGCTATTAGATTTACACGTTTTCTAACAATCTCAATTAATGTACACATTGGTTTTTGTTTTCACCAATTCAGAAGATTTTCAATAAATAACGCAGACCTAGACAAGTCTAAGTATGCGGATGTCATTTTTTCCCGAGAAAGGTTTTTTTAGTATCGCAGACAAAAGCCAAGCGGGAAATGTACTGAAGAAGAAAACAGGATCAGATCTTTTTGACGCACTTGCAGTTTGTCTGGTCGTAGTGACCCACGTAACGATAAATTGATTTCCAGTCCGAAACAGCTGGGCTGCGATCGCAAAAAAAATATGTCTCGACGGCAAAAGCACGCTCCTCGAAATAAGCCCTCCCCCATTCTCAGTAACTAACGGAGCTTTCTTATTTCGATAACGCATAACGGAGGATTCTGTCTCTCTCTACTGCGCAAAATCGAAATGAGAAAAATCATAACGAAACAGCAAAACAAGAGCGCTAAAAACTCCCCGATGAAATCGGATCATTAAAATGAACGATTCGGCCCAGCTCTAGCACGTTGTGCGTGTCGCATATTCAACATCCTTGAAACTGTTTCATCACTGGTGGATTGTAGCATGGTACTTGCGGTTCCACTGCTGCCAGAAGTCGAGTACGATACTGCTTGCAGCGTATACAGATGCTTTACTATACTAACAGCAAATTGAAATTCGATTTATGTTCAGGAAGATGTTCGTCTCGGAGGGGGGTCAATGGCGATTAGAAAAAAAGCGAATGCCCTTGTAAGAACTGAAAAGTGCGGGAGGATGGATGCCAAAAAGTATTGAAAGGGGGGGTCATGACCTTGTGACCCCCTTTGGATCCGCAATTGACTGTTACAAAAAAGGTGTAATCATCTTGTGTTCGACGATCTAGATATCGGTTTGAGTTGCCTTTGGCACATATTGGACCAATAAGAGGGCGTCTTTGAAGTCAGTCTGACGAATTTCATCGATTTCTTGTAAAACTAGTCAAAATTATACGTTTTGTGTAAGGGTCCTTGCAGAAGGAACAGCTATTAATAAAAGGTGGTGGGTGGAACATAGTAATTCGCAGCCCAGAATGGCTGCTCTTGTACAAATATATGCCCTACTTGCAAGCTCTTTGATTAACTCAGTGACATTGAGGACTGAATGTAGCGTGTGTGATTCGAACTAATACGCGATCGCGGTGACGGTGAAAAGTGACAAGGCTAGAAGCAGTCGTCCTACTGCCCAGTAGATGGCGCGAGAGCTCCGTGTTAACAGGGCCAGCTTAAGGAAGAGGGTTTTTATCACGGTAAACAAGTAAATTGAATACATACTCGATGTTTGTTATAGCGTATTTTGTGATTTTATCTATGTCCTCAAATAATTTATCAAGCACAATTGAGTTACTGTTAGTTTCGATAAAATGCTCATTTAATTGCTGTTATATCATCTAGATTGGGTATTGTGTCCATGCTCCGAGTATGGCGCAAGTGTTTCTTTTTCATTGGTGCATTTTATGATAATGGCCGAGAGGCCGAACGCAAATTAAGAAATAGGCTTCTGTAGCTAAACCAAGTGATTTATGACGTATGTCTTAATTTATTATGGGAATTAGGGGCCCATCTTAGACAAACCGTATAATTTTTCTCTAGCTTGAGAGACATTTTATAAGAAATCGACCGTCAGTTACCTAAAAGACGCCGTGTCATTGGTTAAATTTGAGACCCAAGCCATTTTTTATGCTCCTGCTTAGTAAAATTGGCCCTTAGAGTACTTGTACCTACACTTATTTAAATTGTAAATTCTGTAAAAAAAGAATGCAAGCTTTCGTAAGTCTTACGTTCCGAAATCCCATCTCTCATTTAAAAAATATTTACTAAACTAATAGAAAAGTTGGTTAAACAGCATCTTATCTGTTTCGATTTACAGATAAGTTTTCTTTTGGATAGTGTAAGCGTGTTCATTTACAGTGGGAAGTGTGTATCTTCAGTTTTATTAGATCGTCGCCGAATATTAACATACTTGTACCGCTTTTGTGTTGCTTAATCAGGGCAACGATGTCCAGTTTTGAAATTTCCTGACCTGATATAACCATAACTGAGATCATATTACACCAAAGAATAGGCTATGGAAGATATCACTATCACGATTGGAATAAACTGACACGGATTTATCAAGTTGGAGATGAAAAAGCATAGGAAGAAAATATTTTGAGTGGTGTTGAAAACAACAGTCTTATAAACTAGCGGTACCCATACACATAAACCACGGCCTCGGTCAAATATCCTGTATTTATTTGTTTTCGGTTTCGTTAGCAAGACTCAGTTTATCGTCTATGCACAGTGTTGCCAATTGCTGCACACTCGTTACGAAATTCTGCTAAATTACTTAAATTCCAAAACGTAGTAAAAATGACATTATGTAGGACCACTATATTATAAGCTTTACTCATTAGTATCGAAAATGATAACATCCAGTATTGGCCGATACGACCGCTCCTTTGTCCCTAGGTTGTCGATTGTGGAACGCTCTACATGAGGCTTTTCCCAGTTCTTATCTTCAGTTCAATAATTGGATCAACAAAGTTTCTTTCAAGTTCCTCATAGCAACCGCGGTGCTCTGGCATTTAGGCTTCTGCTAGAACGTCAATGGTGAGACGTCTTCCAGACATCGTTCTCAAGAAGTGGGTATACGTTGCACGTCATTATGCACTATTTTAAAAAAAGACTTGCATTTGCAGCCATGCAAAAATCAGTTAACATAAGAACTACAGCCTGTCATTTTTTACACAGCATTTCAAGCACGCGAGAACAGATATACAAGCCGTACTTTATAAATAATAGAAATAGATATTTATCTGCTTCGCACTTTCCCAAAAACGAAGCCGACGCCGTCCGGACGAATTTTATCCCCAAACGTCCTGGAATTTTCGGAAACGTGACAACGCCGCATCGGTGAGCGGTGCGTCGGCCGCGTCCTGCATGGTGCGCATTGCGATTGTTTTGACAGCGGTGCGCAGTTCGCATGACGGCTGAGCCACGTGTTTGAGGGGGCACCCCGCCGGCTCAAGGTGGATGAGTGTACCGGACGGTGGCCGGCGTTGCCAGATCAACCGGTTTTCGAGGGGTCTCAAGAAATCGATAGGATTTGAATGGAACAAAAATAAAACATGAATCAGAGGTTCATATCCAGGATACGTCAAGACTAAAGGATTCAGTTTCATTCAATCTCTATACCAAGGAGGTGGAAAAAAGAAGTTACTGGAAATTATCTTCAGATTCTCAAGTTAACTAGGGGGCGTAAATATAATAAAACCTAGTGGCGGGGAAGAATTGTAAAAAAACATGTCACTCATTTCCGTCGGTTGCTCACATATTTGGGGTGCTGCCGCCCCTACTACATTTTCCATGCTGATTCTGTTCTGGCCGACTGATCGATGACTATTTTCTAATGGAAAGTCTCGAAATTCTTCGCATCGGCGATCTAGCCCTCTTCTACCGCTACGCCAATGGTCTTTGCTCCTCAGAGATATCTTCCATGATCCCTCCGCGTGATGTGCTTCCGTATAAAAAACACAACAAAAATAGAAGACAATCTTTTATGAATTGATGACTGCGTTCCGTACTTTACGTAATTGTTTTGTTTGTTCCAGATCCACGATCACGATGAGCCTTGACACTCTCCTAGAAGCAGCCAAATTCTGGAGCTGCAAGAATTGCAAGAACAAGAACAGCAACACCGCGCCACCGTAGAAGCTGCATTGGCCACAATCAAACCAGCCAACTCCACAATGGTCATAGCACCAACTGTTTCCATGACCCACGCGACTCTCAAAACGGTCACAGCTAACACTTCCCCTCAAACGGTGGTCATCTCCTCAAATACCGTTCCCTCATCGACTGTCATGCAGACCAGTCCTGTGCAGATGAACAATAGCAGATCTATTTCACCGCAGGTCCACAGTTCAAATGATGACAGTATGACCAAGTATAGTCAGGAAAACCATTTCAGAGGATCCTTGAATTGGGTATATTTTTCTTTATTATAAACGCTGTATTGCTTTCACATATATTGGTCTCGATTTTTAAAACAATTTGAAAAAACTAAAGCATGCTCTGTACTGCCCTTGGACTGGACCTTGAATATGGAATTCAAACTTAAGGTCATGTTTGACGGTCTTTTCAACTAGTATATTGTATTAAGATAAGATGTTTAGCATTGACCTTAGATTTGATTTAATCACGGAAAGCTTCTGAATGTCAACTCAAACAGTGCATCATCCTCATGAGCCTATATTTGAAGGTCATCTTAAGTCACCGGAGCTAGCTTACACTCCTGAGCAATGAGCCATAAGAATGTGTGGCGCTGGCCTTGGACTTGACCTCGAATAAGACCTTGACCCAGACGGTTATTTGAAGGTCATCTGTCAAAATCGGAATACGGAAGTGACCTATTCCTGACAAAAATAAGATAAAAATGTTAGGGTCGAGATAGAATGTTTGGCGCTGACCTTGGACTTGACCTCGAACGTGACCTTGACCCAGACGGTTATTTGAAGGTCAAAAGACATAATCGGGATCCGGAAAATTTCTATTTCAGATACAAAACATGTTAGGATCGAGATAGAATGTTTGGCGCTGACCTTGGACTTGACCTCGAATAAGACCTTGACCCAGACGGTTATTTGAAGGTCAACTGTCATAATCGGAATCCGGAAGTGACCTATTCCTGACAAAAATAAGATACAAATTTTAGGGTCGAGATAGAATGTTTGGCGCAGACCTTGGACTTGACCTCGAATGTGACCTTGACCCAGGCGGTCAACAGACATAATCGGGACCGGAAGTGTTCTATTTCTGATACAAAAAATGTTAGGGTCGAGATAGAATGTTTAGCGCTGACCTTGGACTTGACTTTGAATATGTCCTCATCCTTGAGGTTATTTGAAGGTCAACTGGACTAATCGGAATCCGGAAGTGTCCTATTTCTGACAAAACAATATAGGATGAAAATGTTAGCTGCTAATGTTTGGCGCTTACATTGGACTTGACCTCGAATATGACTTTAATCCTGGAGGTTATATGAAGGTCATCTGGAGTAATCGGAACCCAGAAGAGTCGTTGGCGTCAACTTCAGGCTTGACCTTGAACATGAGCTTGACCCGAATTTTAAAAATGTGTATTTTCAAAGTACAACCGCCCAAAAGTAGACTATACTATTATACTTACTTACAGGAAGTTGAGCAGGATGGCCAAGTGACAAGCAGTACCACGACTACCGTAGCTCAAGCGCAAACTCCACGACAGCGGTATCTGAATAACAGTTTCGACATTATGAACCCGTTGGTGATCGACGAACTGAACGGTGATACGAAGAGACGCCAGCCACCAATGGTGTTCAGAGCAGGTACCAGGGAGGTTCACAACAAGCTGGAAAAACATCGGAGGGCACATTTGAAGGAGTGCTTCGATATCCTTAAGAAGCAAATCCCGTCGCAGGAAGATAAGAAGACGTCGAATCTTAGCATATTACATTCGGCGTTCAGGTGGGTGTCAAAACCTTTATATATGGACTACTGAGTCGTTGTGAAAGAATATGAATAAGAAACGTATTTCTATTCCAGGTACATCCAATTGCTAAAGCGCAAAGAACGTGAACTTGAGCACGAAATGGAACGCCTGGCACGCGAGAAAATCAGCCACCAACAACGGATAGCCATCCTGAAGAAAGAGATCTCATCGCACTATGACAACGTGGATTTCTCCAAACTGCTACCCGAAGTCGTACCTACCGCCCCCACAGCGGTGTCTGACGTCACAACAACTGTTGTACCGCCCGCCCCGCCCCCAGTAGGCGTTGACATGAACCAGCACGAGGTGGAGGCGGCAATTGTCACTGTACAACAAAATGGCGGCGGGCAGCATCTGGAACAGGCGCAGATGGCGTTGCCTGTACTGGCTGCCAAGCCGCCCAATAGCATTCCGGTTGTCACGCAAGCTGTCAATTCTATTAAAGAGGTAAGTCTAGGACAAGGATCTAAAATCCTAAGATTTGCCCTTTTTTCTCATTGTTTCGTACTTCCAATAAACTGTTCTTGTTTGGCGTTGACCTTGACGTTGAACGTAACCTTAGCCCTGAAGATTATTTGCGTGTCGGGGTAAGTAGTTGGGCATATCCTACTTCTGAACGAAACCATGATCATAACCAACAAGTTTGTTATCGACCTTGGGCCTCAACACAAAAATAGAAACAAGATCGTATGTTCCCTCATCCCTGAAAGTCATTTCAAGGTCAACTTAAGTAGCTAGAATTATCCCTCGTCTGAACAAAAAAATAGTAATGCGACCAGATGTTTGACTTTAATCTTGGAACGTGACCTTGAACATGACTGACCCTGAATATCTTCATTATCATACAAAGATCATATTGAGCCACTGGAGATATCCTACACTCCTAAGCAAAAAAGGGCCATAAGATAGAATGTTTGGCGCTGACCTTGGAGTTGACCTCAAATGTGACCTTAATCCTGAAGGTTGTTTGAAGGTCAACCGAGATAATCGGAATCCGGAAGAGTTGTATTTCTGACAAAAAAAATGTTGGGGATGCAATAGAATATTTGGCGCTGACCTTGGACTTGACCTCGACTATGACCTTTATCCTGAAGATGATTTGAAGATCACCTGGAGTAATAGGAACCCGGAACAGCCACATTTTTGAAAAAAAGTTAGTATTTGTGTTCACAGTAGAATATTGTTTTTCGTTGACCTCGACCTTGAACGTAGCCTTGACCCTTAAGATTGCGTGTCAGGGTTAACCAGACATATCCTACTTTTTAACGAAAATGATCAATCAACCTGTTTGAGCTTGACCTTGGACCTCAAAATCAGTTAAAAATCAACTCCTGTAACTGGAATTATATTTCTGATCCCAAAAATAGTAATAAAAAATAAAAATATTTGTCGTTAACTTTGAGCCATGTCCATGAAAATCAGTCCAAGGCTAACTAGAGTTTTCCCGCAACAAAAAAATACTAAGGCGATCAGATGTTTGACTTTGACGTGACCTTGGACATAGCCTGTTTTTTGTCATTGTCTATTATTTGTGTTTACAATAAAACATTTTTTGTTTCACAGGTACCTCAACCAGTCCAAGCAACAACGTTGTCAGTTCTCCCGATGACTTATCCGGTGAACCAAGGTCTTGTCCTTCAGAAGGTCGCGATTGTACCAAAGGCCCTGGATGGTCTGGCGCCTCTAGTGTCAACCCATTTCATCACGGCTCCTCAACAGATCAACGGAAAGGTATGATTGCAGTTTTATTTATTATTTTTTTTTTAGTTCTATCACCATCGCGGTGTTACCAAACTATATGCAATGCAAGTCTAAATCCGTCGTGGTGCTTAGCACCACCACCTCATATCTCTCCAAATTTATGGGTGAACTCTATCCCACTTCTGATTCAAATTTAACGTTATAGTCTTTCTTAAAAAGCAGTTGTATGAAGCAATAAATCTTGATTCAGGTATCTAGCACAGTACCTGAGACCCGTCCTTGTGGTCAGCATCACCTCTCGTAAGGACCAGTAGGTGACCCCAATCCCACTTCTGATTCGAATGTAACGTTATACTCTTCCTCAAAAAACAGTTGTATAAGGCAATAAATATTGCTTCAAGTAGTATCTAAGCAATATGGAGGTGGTCAGCACCGCCTCTCCTTCGTCCGAACTAGTGGCTGAACTCTAACCCACTTCTGACTCAAATTTAGCGTGATACTCTTTCTCGAAAAGCAGTTGTATAAAACAATAAATCTTGCTTCAGGTAGTACCTCTAACGCAGTACCTGAGACCCGTCGTGGTGGTCAGCACCGCCTCTCCTCGTCCGAGCTAGTGGGTGACCGCGTGCCGTCTCCATCCCACTTCTGATGTCGCGTAGGCGCCGATGAGAAGCTTTAAGAATTCGATTGTGCTCTTTTAGGATCATGATGACGGTTTTGAGAAAACATGTGAGCAATTTTTCAAGCAGATGTATGTCTTTATTGATATTCGATTTAAAAGACTCTAGGGTACAAAAGTTTGGAAAACTTTTCGATACACCTTTTTTCGTCAGGGAACGACGAAATATGAGTGTCTAATAAATTCGTATCGGTATATCAAAAATTTTATTTGTGCAGAATATGCCGCTAAATTAGAAGACAATATTCTGTAACACCCTGTACATACATTATCAATATCTTTAAAGGTACATACATCTGTTTGAAATGAAAAAAAAAACATGGTGGATATTGACATATGACGAGTACATTATAAATTCTTATATAAAACTCAACAATCAAAATATTACATAATATAACCGAATAGCTACTACTTCCGACATAGTTTCTATAGTTCTATAAGCATATAAAATAGATAAACGAGTTCAGCAGCAGTTTCTGTACCTTTTGTATGTCAAAATATCCACCGAACTGTCGATTTTCTGTGAAAACCCTTCTCCTTCGTCATTTATTTATTGTACGGTATCTTTTTTTGAGAGAGCAAAGTACTGGATTGGAAATCATCATTTTTGGTACACCGAAATTCGATACCAACCAATTCTAATATACTCCCAGAAAAGGTAGCGCCATCTATGAAACGATAGAACACAAAAATGAATTATAAGTTTACCTTGAGAAGAGTTAGTTTGGTTCAGCTTCTATCATAGATGGCGCTATGATCTTCAATAGTTAATCAAGGCCGACTAATAATATTTCAAAGAATAGTTGCATGACATCTAGAAAAATGTTGCAGTGACTTTTTTGAACATATTTGTTTTTTTTTTTTCGAATTTTTTGGTGTACGTTTTCCAGATTCAGTACGCATTCGACTGAGAGTGAGCATTCAAAATCTGAACAGACAAAAGTACAATTTAGAGATAGGAGATACATACATATATTTTTGGTAATGATAACCTTTAATTTTTTCTTGAATAATTTATTATTTTCGCGAGATGTGAATCGGAAACAATGATTAGGAATACACGTTCATTAGAATTTGGGTTTTTTGTATTCTGTATCGCATTCCGGCATATTGGCAGATGTTTAAACTTACCTTTTTCTTGCCACATTCGCTAAGGGAATTCTACGTTTCTTTTTTACATCCTACGCTACTGGTGAGGAAGTATTGTAATCACGAAAAATTTTGAAAAATCATGTTAGTTATTCCCGTCAATAACTTGGGAAGTACCGCTTGGATTTTGATGAAATTTCCACACAAGGTTACTAAATGCGTCAATGAGAAAAAATCGGTCGAGTGACGGCGGAGAAAAAGGCCAAAAACGAAAAAAAAAAAGAAAATCTTTACAGCAGTTAAAGATTGAACATCGGGGGTTGTAGGCGGATGGGGGGAGTATATGTCAATTTTTTGGTGGTAGCAATTTATGAATTGATACAGCGTTGCGTGGAATGTGCCGAGTCAACCTACTTTTTAGGCTGAAATCTCTAGGCCAGTAAGAAGTTTTTCCTTCCCACCATTTCTTTTCTCATAGATTTTAAGGCTGTGGTACTATTTTTTAGATTCTGATACAGAATATTAAACACATGAAATTTTACGCCCATTGAATATCAAGTGGAAGAATATATATTTATTTTAAAGTTTATTTATACTGCTCGTTGATTTTCTTGTTGCACTGCGTAAGCTATGATTTTAATGTAAGCTGCACTTGAAAAGTTTTTTGTATGTATGTGTATATACAGAATTTTCCGAACGAACGCGTGATTTTTGAGACATTTCTGAACTGATCGACGAAGTGGATGATATATTTTTATACAAGCAAAAATTATATGATTAAATGACGGTTTTTAAAACCCAAAAAATCTAAAACAATAAAAATTTCACAGTGTTTCAAACTCAAATATTATGGCTAAAATGTAAAAACTAATGAAAAAATTAAACAACGTGGTGTTAATTTTGTCGATCAGTTTTCTTCAATCGTATTGGAAATAGTGAACAGCTGAGATCAGCTTCATAGAATGTTTTCTGTAACTCCAGCTTGATATACCTGATATGCACATTTACCGATTTGAAGGGGACTTGACTGATGAACTTTTAACTTTGCTGTAAATGCTGCTTTTTGCAACAGCATGTCTTATCAGATTTTTATCTTTTTTACGTTATCCAGAGATTTTAGGTGCTGAATAATATTACTCAAAATTATCTTCTTCCAAAAACTATATATTGTGATCTTCTACTTTGGTTAACTAATTTGAAGACCAAGATCGGCAAACTGATCTAACTAAAAATAAAGCTGCAATTCTATTATATGATATACAAAGTTTTTCTAAATATGTAAAGTAACACCAGTAACCAAGGGCCGTATCGTCAGTCGTTCCTACAATTATTGTAGGACGCCTTATGGCCTCCTTGATTTTCATACTTTTTCCAGTACTTCAGAAAGGTGCTCTATTTTGAGGTTATGTTACAAAATATTTGTGTGCATCAAATTGTTAATGGTTTCGATTTATGTAATTTTATCAGCCTAAAATTTCCTGCAATTCAAAAAGAAAACATAACCTCACAACAGGAGAACGCTGACGCGGACACGGAACAGTAGAAATCTAGAAATATCACAGCCTTTCTGAAGGAGAAAAAAGACTATGAAAATCATGGAGGCTAAAGGCGGTTTTCATGATGATTATTGACGTTCGGCCTTGATGGTGATCTTTTTTAAAGCGCAGTGTCAACGACAATATATTTTATGTTTATCTGACTTCCTGCTGGCAGTTAATGTTTTTTCTTTTTCTACAACAGAGGCAGTTGTCGCAACAACAAAAAAATGAACTGTCACAGGAAAGTCACATAAACATAAAGTATGTTGTCATTGTACTTTGAAAAACGTCACCACGGTGTAATTTATAATTTAGGCAGGAAATCGTGATTTCTATATAGTAAAGTTTGTAAACTAGTTTGAAACGGCAGAAAAAAATATTTTTTTGTTTTTGTAGTTTCTCCTGCATTTTGGGACCCTTTTTCACTTGAAACTGTACGAAAGACTGACGTGGACATTATTAGGCAGAAAAGATTAAAATGTGATGGCAAGCTGTAAAAAATCATATTCCCGTTATGGGACACGATGTTACAATGCTTTGTCTACCCCAATAAAATCATGATTCGAATTTTGCATGAGAAGCATGGATTTATTGTGGTAGGTACAGTGTTACCGGATCTGATCCCATAATATTTGTAAGGACATTATAAATGGGTTTTTGTTAGTGATATATACATTCAGTATGACTTTCGTGTATACCCTAATTGTAATGTTTAATTTTTAGGGTTATTTTTACCCACTTTTAGATCTCCTAGTATTATTTTTTATTTTTATTAACTATTGTACATAAAGGTGTAAGATGGAGAAAAAACTGTACATACGAACTGTGAATATGAAAAAATGTTCTTAAACTTCTACTCTAATTGTATATATTTTATTCCCCAGATATTTTGGGAGACGTATTAAAAATAAATTAATTTAACTTCAACACGTTTTTTTATTCGCCTGTGAACCTGAATCATCAGATTTTCACGAATACTTATTCATACAAACTTGAGAGCAAATAACAGCTAGGTACAGTTTATTCATTGAAACAAAGCAGTTAGGTACGTCATATTTAGTAAATTTGAATGCCAACCTTAAGGCAAAATAGATCCTAAATTGGTACGTATAATTTGAATTTCCCGGGTACATTTATGTTGGTGACAGTTTTCTGTATTGTGACATAGATAAGCAGTTTTTGGCTACGTTTGGTATAAACAGCTTTGGGTTTGACCCGCATGGACATCATGTAAAAAATCTATAAAACGTCAAAAAAACCTATAAGATTTCATCTCGCAAACTATGTAGTTTTTAGGGCGCAAACAGTCATTCCACGTTTGCTCACTAGGATCGTTGTGAACGTCCATCTAAGGAGGAATCACTCAACTAAACTGCAGGCTTTATTGGTTGCATATGTTTTTTGCGACCAAATGGTTCTTGTCTGTAGTTTTTATCACTGTGAAGAAAGTTGGTTGAATAGCAAGATCGCATCTGGATGATTATGCGTATTGGTCTGCATGTGTATAAAATCAATGATATTTGCTGTATTAGACAATCATTACTGAATATGCTGCCAATGAAGTATATCTGTTGGCTGTGCCCGACGGGTTATTTTTATGTTGTGCTTTCTGAAGAGAGGTTATGTTCAAAGTTTACGAAAAACTGAGGAAAAGTACGGGAAATCATCACCGCGCCCGCGTTGTGTGCAATTACTGTTAACATGTATATGGCTTGTAATTCGACAGTGTACAGTGAATATAGTTATTTCTTATCTCTCTCATTTTTGAAATTCAGCAAGTTTGTATAATATGCATGTAATTATCATCAACACATACAACTTAGACCTCCAGTAATGCCATCTCAGAAGCAGATTTTACATCACATCAGAGCCAAAGACTGATACATGCCTCATGACGTTTAGGCAACACGTAAAACTAAGTGTTTAGATAACATCTTGTAGAAAACCTACATAGATGGCGCTCGAATATTTTGGGTTCTTTTTGGGAGCCGCAATGCAACATATACCCTATTTCACCAGTATCCATCACGCTTTGACGTCTACTGAGCTGAACAGCTGATCAGCAAGTGACATTTTTGTGTTAGTCTGCAACGTTGCTTATAATGAATCGGGTGTAAATTTGTTTGTGCGATTTGTTTTTTGTATGCAAATGAACGTTTCTTAGCAAGTACAAAATGAATTTGTAGAGTACAAAAAACAAAATATGGCACTGTTCACCTGGCCTTGACGGATCCGTCAGAATTATAATCAAATCCAAGCGAATAACCAAAATTTCTGTGTTATGTGCCGCGGTTATAATATGGTTCAAGATGACACACGGGTTGATGACGTCGGTTACACGAATCGCTTGAACGCGTTGGTTTTAACCGCGGTTTTGTTGCAAGTTGTTTATTTTAGAAAAGCGCGTATATAATCTCTGATTATTTTTATTATCACTTAATAATCGGTGCTTTTTCGTCTACAACTGTATATGGAAAGTTTAAATAAGAAACCTTTCATAATATTCATGAGAAAGATGTTTTTTTCAGATTTTTTTTTTAATGATGGAACCATGGCTTTGTAGCTATAATAACTTTCAATTCTCTAAATTTTTCCGCATGTCAAAGAAAACATTTATTGATTCAGCAGAAATGATGAAAAAAGAAATTAGCAAAACCGTATACAGGTGGATATCATCTAGTGAGTTTATATGGCCATATTTTAATATTCTTGTGGTATATGGCTACACAGGATACTTTGTTAAGCATAGGAGCTATATTTAAAGTGTCCCCAACAACCGTAATGAGTATAACTAATAAGGTGCTCCACTTTATGGTAAAACTGAAGTCAGCCTGTATCAATTTTCTCAAAAATGAAGCTGAAGTACAATAACAATATCCAATACCCGGCAAAATTCTAACTTGTCACATTTCAAATAATAACCAGAAATATAAAAATACTATGGAGTTGGGTAAATACCACAATTTTGCGGTGATAACTATGACATATAACAGCTGATTCGTGACGTCACGGATCTTATAACCAAACTGATAACTACACTCGCTTGAACGGATCGGTAAATACCAACCCAAAATGGTAAATACCATTTCCATTTGGTTATCCGCTTGAATTTGATTGTAGACTTACCTGGTCTGAATCCAAATTGACAGTCAGTAAATCTTTCAAAAGAATCTCAAGTATCTTAGCAAATAGGGGTATAAGTGAAATAGGTCTATAATTTGAAAGATCGTTGGAATCGCCTTTTTCAAAGAGGGGGACAGCTTTCGACAGTTTCAAAGTCTCAATTTTGTTAATAGTATAGTTGAATGGTTGTAATATTTTTTCATAGAAACCGAAAATATTAAAACTTTTACATTTATTTAATTTATTTATCGCTGTCCCGACTTGATTGTAAGTAAAAACAAATCCGTCTGTATAAGTTACCTCTTACGAATAGCTCGTGTGCGTTGAAGCTGGTGGAATTTGGTCTACTAGATTTTTTACAACGTTAGTAAAATAAAGATTAAAATCAGATGCGCCAAGCGTCGTACTCGTGTGTTGACTTTTCATTGGCTTTTTTTGATAACATTCCACACCGCTTGTTGTCTATTTTTATCATTTTTAATTTGAATCGTTAGCTTGCTTTTTGGCTTTAGTAGTAATGGTCCCAGTCGGAATACCCGAGATACACCTGTATTGGAGAAAATTTAAAAAGGCATGATTCCAATAAGATATGGCCTCCCTTTCCATTTAAAAAAAATCCATCATCATGCATCAATTTCATCATCCTGAATTCTAGCTTCCAGCTAGCTTTTTTCCGCTACCTTGAACCGCAAGTTGTATGCACTTTTTTCAAATACATCATTAATGGCATTATTCGTAGTAGTGGTCCCAGATGGGATCCATGGGGTACACCCGTATTGGAGAAAATTTAAAAAGGGATGATTCCAATAAGATATGACCTCCCATTCTATTAGAAAAAATCCAAGTTGGCCGTCGGCCGCCATCTTGAAACTTTCAACTGTTGTTTTTACTTTAAAATATAGTATTCATCATCCTGAATTCTAGCTTCCAGCTAGCTTTTTTCCGCAACCTTGAACCGTTCAAAATATAAGTAGCAGGGACCTCATCATTAATGACATTATTCGAAGTAGTGGTTCCCAGTTGGGATCCCTTGGGGTGCACCCGTATTAGAGAAAATTTAAACGCTTGAAAATTTCACCTGGAAATATAGTATTTATGCGTCAATTCCATCCTCTTAAATACTTGAAAAAAAAAATAGGACCGAGCTTTCTGAAAGATACTGTAAAAGCAGTGATTGAAAAGTAATTAATGCTATTGTTAGTAGCAATGGCCTCAGTAAGGATCCCTGGGGTACACCCGTGGTAGAGAAAATTTAGTCAAGGGATGATTCCGATGAGATAAAAAATCGGATATAATAAAACATTCAATAACTATTTCATGTATTTGTAAAAATACTAACAGTACAATTATTTTTATTAGTGATCTGACAAAAAATGCAGTTGACTATACATTTATATACATTATTCGTTGTTAAAAAAAAACAGAGCAACACACAAAAACTCTATGGAACTTTTCACAATTATATAACGTTACAGATTTTACAAAAATATCTTGATAAATAGGTATGTGAAATATGAATTGTACAAAAATTTGACACTGAATCTAACAGGTTGACTATCAATGTTGTAGTCTAAATATAAATGTCAAATGACGATATTATAGACGTCAGAACACCTAGAAATTATTTTTAAGTAATCGAAAATTGATTCTATGCCAGCCGAAAAATTGCTTTTGCAACAATAGGTGGTTGGCAGACTTACTTGCTGCTTGACTATTTAGAGAGCTGAAATACTGAATAGGACAAATACATTGATTCAATTCAACTTTTAATAGTAGAAAATTATTCCAGTAAACAATTTGGAATAATATAAAAGTCCATAAAAAGGTTAACGATGAATCCAAAAGGTGAAATGTTGCATAAAAATAGCACCAAGTAACATCATATGTAACATATAAGGCATATAAGTTGCAGCATTTTGCGATAGTAGTTTATTCATTTCATTTTCGGTTTCGAACTTCTCTCTTACCATAGGAAATTATTTTTATACCTTGATGTCTAAAATTCGCACACAAAGAAAATATCATCATTTATCACGTGAATTTTTAAATATTAGTAAAACTTCAGTCGCTTTAAGCTATACAAAAATATCATCTTGCTTTTCAAGGCAACAACAATATCACTCAAGGACATGGTTAAAAATTCCATAAAGTCTGAAAAAACGCTAATTAAAATCGATACGGAAGTTGTATCATGTTTCTCAAACATATCTTATTATTTGGAGCGTTCAAAAATACACAATAATAGTAAGAGCACTTTTACGTAGCGAAAAAACCGTTATTAAAAATCGTAAAACGATAGAGAGGTGTAGAGACGTTTTCGAAATGATAGAAAAAATAAATAGAATGATTAACTTATACATAGTGAAGCAACAACTGCAAAACGATAAGCTCTTGTTGTGCCTGAAACAAAAATAATAATTAAGTACGAAGTGAAAATCATTTTACAAAACATATCTCAAATCATTGAATTGGAGCACTGAATACATTTTTTAAATATCCCAAAAAATAAAAAAGTTACGATACCGAGAAGTTTGGTGTTCACAGACTCGTCTGGCTGTGTGATGGCGTCATCCAAATATGGAATAAAATATAGCAGACGCTCGATAACGTAAACACGGGATAATGAAAACTTGCGCTAATGTAAACACAAACTTCGTTCTGTAGGATCAAACGGAACGCGCGATAACGTAAACAATGTGTACGCTCGATAAAGAAAACAACTCTCGGCGCACGGAAACAGCGCGACGGTAAAATGCTGAAGCCTCGATGATTTATGTCGGGCGTCGGGGAGTCCCCGATTTATGATGTAGAGTGTAGGGGATCCACCTCTGCGATAAAATACGACAAACTCGGTCAGTCGTATGATCGTTTAGGATACGTTTATACGTACGTATGTATTTCATTTTTGAACTTAAGTGAATACATTGCACGCGCTAATATATTTTACGACTATGGCATCCACATTCTATAAAAGAAAGTGTTTAAAGTTGAGTGAGAAAGTGAAAATCATACACGAAGTTGCACTAGGTGCGGGGGTGACACAGTTAGCAAAAAAATATGGAGTATCGAAAGCAACAATCTGTAAAATTAAGCGTATGAAAACTCAAATTTTGCAAAGAACGTGCAATTCATTTGGAGGTCCCCGGAAAAAGAAAAACTTTAAAAAATGCGAAGGCACCTAAAATGGAAAATTCCCTGTATAAGTGGTTTTTAAAACAACGGGAAAATCATGTCCCAGTTAGTGGCGAAGTACTTAAACAGAGAGCGAGACTGTTAAATGAAAAACTGAAAGAAACTGAAAATTTCGTAGCTAGGGATGGCTGGCTACAACGATTCAAAACAAGATATGGAATTCGACTGCTGTTTATATCTGGTGAAAAATTATCAGCACAACCACAATTAGTGCAACCATTCAAAGAAAAATTGATGAAAACAATTACCGAGCTAGATTTAAGAATGGAGCAAATTTACAACGCAGATGAAAGTGGCCTTTATTGGAAAATGTTACCAGAGAAAACATAGCTACATCATTTGAAAAATCTGCCCCGGGAAGAAAGCCGGAGAAACAACGAATAACGTTTCTAGCCTGCACTAATGCTAATGGTTCACACAAAATAAAGCTACTGGTAATTGGGAAAGCAAAAAATCCGCGCTCATTTAAAAATGTTAATATCCCTGTTGATTATGACTGTTCAAAAACCGCTTGGATGACTAGCAGTATATTCCTAAAATGGTTCCACAGGTGCTTTGTCCTTCAGGTATGACAATCAATTATCACAAATGCTCTATTCATAATTTGAAGATGTGTTTTCAATTTGTAGGTAAAAGGTTTACTAAAACAACAGAAGCTTCCAATAAAAGCGTTGTTACTATTGGATAATGCACCAAGTCATCCTCCCGAGCAACAACTGAGGAGCAGGGATGGGTCAATTTTCGTCATGTACATGCCGCCCAACGCGTAACACCGTTAATTCAACCGATGGACCAGAATATAATAAGACTCACCAAACTATACTATAGGAAGTTTCTACCTTCGTCTGTCTTATCAAAGAATCCTGAAAACTTATCTTTAAAAAAAGTAACATTACGAGAAGCTGTTTTAGATTTACATATGACCTGGAATGAACTTAACCAGCAAACTATTCAAAAATGTTGGAACAATCTCTTTTGTACCAATAATGAAGATGATGAAGAAGACGATGTCCCCTTAAGCGTAATTAGAGAACGTTTGCGATCCAATAATGATAATGTTATTAGTGTGTCATTGGATGTTGTTGATTTATTGAAAACAGTGAATCCCAACATTGTTTGTACTCCTGCTGATATTAATTTATGGAACGAAGATAAGCAGACGAATGATGCTGATAAGGAGGAGGATATGGACAGTGAGGATTATGAGAACGATCCCATTGAAGTCAGAACTGTAGTAACTGACGCGCAAGCTATACAAGTTTTTAACCAAGCTTTAGATTGGGCTGAAAGAAAAGAAGTTTCATACACGGATATTTTAGTTCTTCGTAAATTACGGGCGCAGGCATTGGAAGACAATGCTAAGCGCAAATTTACGCAGACAAAAATTGTTAATTATTTTTCTTCTAATTAAAAAAATACTTATCGCTGTTAGAATATTTGTTTATTTTGTTATAAATAGTATGTATTAAACGTTTCTTTTAATAAATCAAATATTATATAAATCACGTTCGCTAATGTAAACATTTCGATAATGTGAACCACACTTGGATTAAATTAGTTTACAATATCGAGCGTCTGCTGTATAGGCTATTTCCTGTATAGTGCCACGAGTAATCACCTCATGGGCGCCGTATCAGTCCTACCTGTTCTTTTTTTGCATATCGCATACTTATGTATTGTATATGTAATGTTGACAAGTCTTATGTTATAGCTATTTATGACCAAAAGACAATAAAGACTATCTATCTATCTACATATCAATAGGACGATAGATACCCTAAACCGCTTCCGCTGAGAAATGAGTCGGACGTTACAGAATGCTTCTTCCATATTTGTCAAAGGCATCAGTTATTCTACCATACGAAGCTAAATCTAACAGAATTTTCGAGTAAACTTCCTCATTAAAAATAGAAGTATTTTACCTGTGTGCGTATCTTGACCTTGGCACGTATCTTGAGCGTGTCACACTTCGTCGGCCGCCATATGTTGCGGCTGCGCATTGAGTCCGTCCCCACCGCCGGCTCCGTCTTCGTCTTGCGCTGTCGCCGATATCACCTGTTGCTGTTGCTGAGCTTTGTTCAACGCCGCTTCAGCTTCCAAAGCTCGGATGCGGTTCTCGTGCTTCACGATCATCGCTTTCAGCTTGCGAATTTCGTCGGCGAACTCTTGCAGCGTTTTTTCCTGCACGGGAAATTCAAAATGGATATCGACACGGTAAACGTAATACACGGTGGAAGACGCCGAGTGCAGACTGTGCATGGAGGGAGGTGAAACGGTCAGGCATGTATTGCGCCCTGCAATTGCCAGTATCAGGTACAACATACAACATTTCTTTACCTGACAAAATTTGGTACCAAATTATGAACAAAATTTTGACACACGAGCAAAATAAAAATTGGATACACCAATGATGTTAATCTATTTCAGGTATTAAAAATGCAATTTAGTCTAGGTGTTTGCAGGATTTCAGCATGATGACCCAACATGCGTCAACCATTTCGTATCCTGTTTAAACCATTTGAATGCATTTTGCACAGACAATACTAATTTCACATTAATAACACACCAGAAAATGGCAATAATGATCTATCTGTATACAGTCTGCGAAAACAATAAGTTCGCCAATTTTGGCCTGAAAAACAATGCTGAAATCGCTTTTAAACAAACTAAACAATTATACAGGATGTTTTAATTTTGTCCCACATCAAACATATTTTTTTTCTCGAACTATTTATATTTGACTCCTACCATGACCTCCAACGTCTTTTTCACCCAATAACTAATAATAAGTAGGTTACAACGTGCGTGTATATCATTCTCCTTTTTCTTTAAAGGGCCTATCCGAGTGTGTAATAAAAAGTACCATCGATTAAAAAAAATACTTTTGATAAAGGGCAAAATTGAGACATCCTGTATAATTGTGAATATTTTAGAAATATGCACTCTTATACAATGTATAATAACAAATAAATAATGTTCGCTGATAAGTTCTTAATTAGGAGCGATACTCCGTTCTTGCATGTTTGGGAAGCCCTGTATATTATGCAAGCGCAACAGAATTGCGAAGAACCCATGAGAACTTTTAACCAGAATGCTCTGGAAAGCTTGTTCACAAAGTTTGAGCAAGATTGACCGGGGACTGATTTTCGTAAGGTTTGTGCCACCTCCTTTATAAAACTTACGGTTTTTTCAGGTTTTATGGATAGTTCCGAGTAAAAAAGGCATCAGTTAATTTTTCTCTAAAGCTGACCATTTTCGAGTTATACGCGATCTAAAGTCTGTGTATTCAATGCTCGGTTAGAAATTATAGTTTTTGATGTCTTCAAGTATTTAAAGTCGAGATTATTTTAAAACAATTTTTAACATTGTCCGTTGAACTTTCGGGTTTCACAAACTGTACATCCGATATTTTCACACTCCAGCACCCATAGATTGAACTGATTGCAAATAAGATCTGGTAATTTAGATAAAAAAATAGTGTCGCAGAATAATTTTGCATCGCATATAATTTCGAAACTGACGGTCATGAATCCACTCTATTCAGTGCCATGTGCAGTGGTAATATTGATAGTGATATATTGCCGAACGCCGGTAGGTTTTATTAAAAAAAAATGGGATTTTAATAATAAACAAATATTCATACAGCGTGTTTTCAAAGTTGACTCATTTATTCTAAATGCTTGTAGGACTCGACAAAATGAGTTGATATACCAAAAATCACCTATACAAAAGTTGCATAATAAAAGAAATGGTAAAATATTAAAAAATTTAAAAAATAAGTTATGTTATTACTCATATTTTTTATATCCTCGACCACTGCTGTGTGTAAAATCTTACCGTTTTTTGATTACTACTCTCATTGTTTATCTAAATTTCTAGGAGTATGTTAATCAATGTTTATAGCAAGATTTTGTGAACTTGAGTGTACATTTTAAGGGACAAAATATGTGTATTCAAGGTGGACGCCGGAGGTTTGAACCTAGAAAACATAGAAGTTTGCGACCACACAAAACCTGGAGTCATAAAATACCTGAAATACGAAAAAGTAAACAGAACTACGAAAGCAATGTCCGTCAAAATGGTACTGACGAGACCTATTGATCAGAGTGTTGGGGTACGTTGCCATAAGCACAGCAACACTGAGTAATTTTGTTGACATTAAATTCAGCTATATTCTTTTCCAATAATGATTTTCATGAGGCTAAATAGTGATAAGATTTATGAAGAAAATGTTCTAGAACAATTCGAATTTTAGCTGAAAATAGAAGCTGAAAAGTGGGGCTCCTCAGGATGGACGAAAGTTCCGTATTTGCCTATAATACCGGATGCTTGTAACACGATGAAGCGATTCTACAGTCAGTATATGATAGATTTTTGGAGGACAGTCGGTGTAAAGAATCCTGACAAATGCCCTATTCCACCGGTAAGTCAACTGATGTTTTCTAGGTAATGGCACTAGGTCATTATCAGCGGTCTGTTGTCTGTTTATTTTATTCTTTCTCGTTGTAGGGTGACTACATCCTGAAGAATTACACCTTCGCGAGTAATCCCCAAACAGAACAGACGGCAGTACCTGTACACGGCAGAGTACGGCTCACAGTATCACTTGTCGATATGACTACCAAAATTCCCTTTTTGTGTACAAATGTCTATATGCAGTCATGAAAAACTTGACAAGCCTACCACTGCTACTATATTACAAATTCTGTATTTAATGTCAAATATATGAATAGAATATATCCACAGATATGATGAATTCTATTGTCACACAGTCCAAAAGTCATTTTGGTGCCAGAGAAACAAGAAGTGAATTTGACTATTTTTGATTTGCTTCAAAAATCTCTTCTTGTTCATATTAGCGTATTTTTTAAAAAGTGTAACATGCCATTTTAGACCGCAAAAAACTGTATGAAAAAACGAGAATTTTAATGACGCCAAAGTTCTTAAATTTTCTTCAAACATCCATTAACAAAAAATAAAAAGTCGCCTATGTGCTACTCTGTATCAAAGTTGCGTTCAGCAATTTTGGCATGATTGAATAACAAATATCCACTCTTATCTAATCTATCATATAAACTAACGATAAATACGAGTTCTGTAAATTAAGTGATGAGACTGGGAACGTAGCGATCGGTCCGACACGATATAAATCAAAAGCATGAACAAATGCAAATAGATATTTGTGACATAACCTCAAAATAGAGCGCTGGGATGGAACGGTAGAAAACTATGAAAATCAAGGAGGCCATACAGGCGTCATCCAATTGAAGGAACGAGTGACGATACGGCCCTTAGAGTAGTAAAAAATCCCACTTACCGACACAGGTGAGGACTGTCCACCTCCGCTGGACGCCTTCCCGCCTTTGGGCGGCATCTTGTCCAGCACGTTGCTCCTGCTTCTGGAAGAGAACGAAGAAGACTTCGACTCTGGCGGCCTGTATCCGTCCTTCAAAGAGATCAGGATGGGCTCCGCGTCTTGTCCGGCCATCCATTCATCAGCTGTCGACGCTGGGGTGTCGCCGATCGTGTCAGGATACAAGTCTTCTTGGAAGAGTTCGGATTTGCGGGGCACCGTCATCGTTATCACCTATCGCGGAAAATTTTTAGGGAATTCGGAAAATTTGGCGATTTAAATATCTTAGAGGATTTGGAGTAAATACACAATTCACTGAGGTGAATTTAGAGGATTAAGGAAATGTAGAGAATTTCGAAAATCAAGAGAATTTAGAAAAGTAAGAGATTTTAAAGGATTTAGAGAATTTAGAAAAAAATGACAGTTTAGAGATTTTAAAGAATTTGAAAATTCAGAGAAATTGAAGAATTTAGAGATTTTAGAGAATCAAGAGAATTCAAAAATTTAGAGAATTTAGGAAATTTAGCAATCTTAGCGAATTAGAGAATTTAGAAAATTCAAAGGAATTATAAAATTTAGACATTTTGGGAAAATTTGGAAATTTTAGAGAATTTGAAGAATTTAGAGAATTCAGAGGATTTATAAAATTCATAGATTTTACAAAATTTGGAAATCTAGAGAAATTGAAGAATTTAGAAATTTTGGAGAATTTAGAAAACTTAGAGCAATAAAATAATTTAAAGAATTCAGAGGATTTATAAAATTTGGAGATTTTACAAAATTTGGAAATTTAGAGAAATTGAAGAATTTAGCGAATTTAGAGAATTCAGAAAATTGAGAGATTTTAGAGAATCAAGAGAATTTAGAAAATATAGAGAATTTTGAAAAATTAGAGATCTTAGAGAATTAGTTTTTAAAGAATTTATAGAATTCACAGGAATTATGGAATTTAGAGATTTTACAAAATTTGGAAATTTAGAGTATTTAGTAAATTTAGAGAATTTAGACAAATTAGAGATTTTAGAGAATTTGAAGAATTTAGAGGATTTATAAAATTTAGAAATTTTACACAATTTGGAAATTTAGAGAAATCGACAAACTGAGAGAATTTGGAGAATGTAGAGAATTCAGAAAAATTGGAGAGTTTAGAGAATCAAGAGAATTTAGAGAATTCTGAGGATTTATAAAATTTTAAAAATCTAGAGGTCGGAAATTTAGTAAATTTGGAGAATTTAGAGAATCTGGATAACTTGAAGAATATCGAGAATTAATTACAATCTCAATTATCTTGTTTCTCATTAACAAAAGTGGCATCACTGATTGGTAAATTAATGTGTCAAATAACTTACAACTCATTTGCTGCTTAAAATCCTTGTTAGATGAAATATAAATATTCCTTCGCGATTATTCAAAATTTCATACAGATTCTTTGGTTAAATTGAATTTTTTCATCTTCCCTAACAGATGATATCAACTTACTTGACATAATCCCGAATTGTTGAGCCTATAAAATCTAGCTATTTCACAGGAAGTGACGTCACATCCCCTCTTTGGCATCATGCCGATTCCTCTTTGAGGATCCGGAGTTTGGAAGGTGTTGATATAATGTACAAATGGTGGTTCCGCTGTTATCTCGAAATACCTGTAACAAATTCTCTGATTCAATTACAAATACATAGGTACGCATATTTTCATTTTCCTAATTCACATCAACTCATAAAAGTTTTTTATAAATACACAGATGCCTCAAACAATTGATAAAAATAGAAAAAATTGACATAATTCAGATACTTTTGAGGTTTTAGAGAATTTAGAGAGTTTGGAGAATTTAGACTTTTTAGAAAATTTTGAGAAATAAGAATTTACAAAATTCAGAGAATATGTGAATTGGAGTATTTAGAGAATTTAAAGAATTTAGTGAGCTTAGAGCATTTGAGGAATATAGGGGATTTAGAGAATTTGAAGAATCTAGAGAATTTGGACGATTAAGAGAATTTAAAGAATTAGAGGAACTAAAGAATTCAGAGGATTTATATAATGTGGAGAATTTATAGAATTTGAAGAATTTAGAATTAGGGAAAATAGAGAATTTGGGGAGTTTATGAAATTAGAGAATTTGAAGATTTTAGAGAATTGCAGAATTTTGAGAATTGAATAATTTAGAGAAGCCTCAAAAAATTGATAAAAATAAGAAAATCGATATAATTCATATACTTTTAATGATTTAGAGAATAGGGAGTTTGAAGAAATTGGAGAATTTACGGAATTCATAGAATACGAGAATTGGACAATAGTTGGATATTTAGAGAATTGAGAGTATTTAGAGAAATTGGAGAATTTCAAGAATATAGAGAAATTAGATAATTTAAAGAATTATTATATATTATTATGCACAGAATTTAGAGAATTAAGTAATTTGAAGAACTTAGAGATTTTAGGAAATGTATCATTAAAGAATTTAAACTATTTAGAGAATTTGATGAATTTATAGAATTTGGAGGATTTACAGAATTTAAAGAATTTAGAGAATATGAAGGATTTAGAGAATTTGAAGAATTTAGAGAATTTAAAGAACTTAAGAGACTTTAGAGAGCTTAGAGGATGTGAGAATTTGAGGAATCAAGAGGATTTGAAGAATTCATAGAAATCAGAGAAATTAGAGAATTTGACAATTTAGAGAATTGAGAGCATTTAGAGAAATTACAGAATTTGGAGAATTTAGAGAAATAAAGAATTTGTAGAACTTAGAGAATATAAAAAATTTAAAGCATTACAGAATTTAAAGAATTCGGGGAATTTTTAAAATTTGGGAATTTAAACAATTTGGAGAATTTAGAGGATTCAGACAGTTTAGAGAATTTGGAGGACTTTTTAAGTATGTACTTGGAGAATTTATAGTAGTTACGGAGTTACATAAATTAGAGAACTGAACTGCTTACGAAATTTGGGAGATACAAAGCAAATTGAAAAAAAATCAATCAAAACGCAGTAGAATTTGAAATGCAAAAATGCTGGGCTAGCGATTTAACAAATAACATCAGAAAACCTACCTGATGACAGAATCACCTTTTCCGCACAGGTACACAAGATTTGCATCCGGATCGTACAGTGGAAACATGACACCATTGGACGTGTCCAATTCCACCATAACGATCGGCGTATCTAGACAGTCGGGCGTCCGTAAGCTGTACTGCCGTTCCGACATTTTCGAAAAACCGGTCGTGAACACCAGACCGTGTCGTAAGAATATTGCTCTCGTTGCTTTCGAACCTTAAAAAATATTAAATAAGTTAATTACAACAATATAATTTAAATGAGATCTTTAAAAATGGACGAATAATAAAATCACGCGAATATAGTTTACATCAGCCAACCGATCATTTTCATTGTTGTCGCACTTCACGCTGATGGTTTCTTGAATCGACAATTTGTTTTGGTAGCTAAATATCCATTCGCTATATGCTGAATAAACTGAACTTACCTTCGTGTGCTATTGCTTCAGTTTCGACTTCACCAGTCCTTGGATTTATGATTCTAATTTTTTTATCCTTACAAGTAGTTAACAATTTGGAACCGTCCCAGTTAAAACAAGCACTGTAAACGATGTCCGGATGACAGTCTATTTCTACTAAAGCGTCTCCGGTACCTAAAAAAAAATACAGATATAACCAGAGGATGAATCGTCCAGACAGGGAGGAACCATTAGAATCTCTTTTGCCTATACAAAATGGCGTCATGCAGTGCTAGTCTCCGAGTTATCGATAAACATTTTCAGCACTTACCGACATTCCAAATAACCACCTGGTTGTCGCTACCAGCCGTGAGCAAAACGTTCAAAGCCGTCGGGTGCCAAAGCACCAATCCCACCCTCCTTTGGTGGTAAACCAAACTGACCACTGGCTCTGTCATGGTCTTGATCAGACCATGGTCCGGTATCTCCCATACTTTCACCACGCAGTCTTCACTGCCGCTGGCTATGACGTTGTCGTTGTGCGGACACCAGGCGATGTCCAGTACGGGACCTTTGTGACCTCCTACTAGGGGGTAGTCAGCTGGTATCCTACCCACCTGGAAATAATGAGGAACTTTTACTTAGTTTGAATACTGGGCTGGTTCAGAAAATCTAGAGAATACACACAATTTACAGATATTACAGAATTGGCACAATTTAGAGGATTTGGAGAATGTGGGGGCATTTTGAGGATTTGGAGCATTTAAATATAGATTTTATGAAAATCGTAACAGTCCGTGAATTCGTAGAGTTTATAGAATTTGGAGAAATTCAGAGAATGTAGAGAAGTTTTTAGAATTCGGGGAATTTAGAGAATTTAGAAAATTTAAAGAATTTGAGAACTTAAAGAAATTATTGAATTTACAGGAGTTAGAGAATTTAAACGATTCGAGAATTTAGTATTCAAAGAATTTGAAGAATTTACAGAACTGAAAGATTCTAGAGATTTCAGATTTTTCAGATTTTTAAGGATTTGATAAATTTGAGGATTTTGAAGAATTTAAAGAATTTAAAGAATTTAAAGAATTTAAAGAATTTAAAGAATTTAAAGAATTTAAAGAATTTAAAGAATTTAAAGAATTTAAATAATTTAAAGAATTTAAAGAATTTAAAGAATTTAAAGAATTTAAAGAATTTAAAGAATTTGAAGAATTTAAAGAATTTAAAGAATTGAAAAAAGAATTTAAAAAAATTAAAGAATATAATGAATTTAAAAAATTTAAAGAATTTGAGGAATTTAAAGAATTTGAAGAATGTAAAGAATTTAATGAATTTAAATTATTTAATGAATATAAAGAATTTATAGAATTCGAAGAATTTAAAGGATTTAATTCAAAGAATTTAAGGAACGTGAAGAATTTAAAGAATATAGAGAATTTTAAGAATTTATAGGATTCAGTAAATTTAGAGATTTTTATGAATTTAGACTTTAGAGAATTATTAATAACAATTTGAGAACTTGAGAGTAAATATAGAGTTTGTCGACCTACGGACAGTAAAACTGGGAAATTAGCAGACTTTACCGCAATCTAGATACCGAGGGAACAAACGAGCATTAGCCTAGCATCTAACAGCCCTACAACGTATCCACATCATGGAGGAAAACTAAGGGTAACGGAGCTCGTTGACATATGGGTAAAAAAGAGCCAGATCACCGACCGCCGTTGATGTTAAAGTGGCATTACATCGACTGTCAAGGAAGCGTCCCTGATTAGTCGGATAGCTGTGCTCGGAACCTGGTCAAGTATTGACAAAGTAAGAAGGTTAAAATGCAAAAAGAACTAAAAGTATGTTTATGAAACACCCTGTACTTGCTAGAGTACGTTTCCAAATTGGTCTCCCCTGTATATCTCTTTCCGCTAACCTTGCGTAACCGCCTGTCGGCCAGCCTTTATATACAGAAACTGAAAGCATGCTGGAACTTATTGTAGCCAGAGAGACGCTATCTGCATATTTAAAATATTTAAATTAATCAGCCTGGTGTAGCGACAGGAAAACATTCAACTGATAAAAAAGAAATATATCGATACAAAATAACGCGAGCGTCCACCGAGCTACTGATAAAAATAATAAAGCTTGCTCAGTCAATCTGGGTTATAATGTATTTTTATGCTCGCGATGAATAATCATCGGTTGGGAATAGGAGGCAACTGTTGATTTTATAGGCTCTATTTTATTACACGCCTGAGTGATTGAATATTTCCATTGGAATTTATCAATATAAATATCATTTCTATTTTCATATATAACAGTAAATAGCTGCAAAAATCAACACAGAAACCCAACACCGTCGAACGGGATTGGGGGTAATAATTGTGAAATGCGATTTGTGTCGATAAAAATGTCAAGTAGATTGACTCTACAAAGTCATGTAGTGAAGAAGGTCACCATTAAAGAAGTATTTTAAATATATGTGATTGACCAGGCAAATATTCTCGACACACTGTGTCATACATGATATTAATAGGCAAAGAAATGTGTTAACGAAATACAGGAAACAGTGATTATGAAAATTTAATCAAATGATGATATTTACTAATGACTTCTCCGCACGAGTACATCTTATTTAGAGGAAAACGCGCATGGATATCCCGATAATTAACCTGCATTGTTTGAATTAAATTTTCTGCTAAGCGGGTCGGAAAATATTCGTTGAAACACACACTTCAGGTGCGTTTATTTTAAGATAAAAATATTGGATATCATTATCTAACTGAAAGGAAAGTCAAAGCAACGTAAATAAGTGGGCAAATCAAGACGGTGAATAAGCTGTCCCATTTTTTTCTCTCGGCGAATTTCTAAAAATATCGGCAGATCATTAAAATAAATAGAACGCGCTATTCTGCAACTGCCGACTTTTTGAGTTTTAAATCGTGGCTTGTATCTATATCAATTTTTAACTACTCACTTATGGCGTCAAGTAGGTTGACTCAGTACTTTGCAGGCGTGGATGTACCATTTCTAAATCTTCGTTTTCGGTTGCATTTAGAATGTTGAATAGTGCATAAGCTTTTATGGACGCATATATTTACGTCCCTTTTTGGACGTTATACAGAGTGACCCGATGCAAAGGTCGCACCCTCATTTGTGACCCTCCTGGTACATTTTGGGAAAAACGAGCTTAATGATGACGATTTTGATGGAAGGTTCAAGTTTTGCGAATTAAAAAATGTTTGTTTCTCGGATGAGTGCACGTTCTATTTTCGTGGTGCTCTAAAATGACATAATTCTCGATATTGGAGTGACTCGAATTCAAATTTTGAGGGGTACACTCGCAATATCGTGAAGAAATTAATGTGTGGGCCGGAATTTTTGGAAATCATATTGTAAAACCCTCAACTTTATCGAAAAAATCATCTAGACGTTCTTTTATTTCCTTCACATGTCGGCTGTTACTGAGGTCATTGTGGCGCATTTTGGAATTTAAATTTTCGATGACGCGCCCGAGCATTTCTCACAGCGCCAAATGCAGCCAAAAATACACCACTGAATCATCGAAAATTGGAATTCCTAAACAAATCATGTTGCCAGCACAGATGGCTGATATTATTTGAGAAGGAAATTTTCAAAAAAACAAATGGCATGAATAAATGTAATAAAGATGCTATTGATAAAAGTACCGCTTAATACTGCTGTGTTATTGTATTGAGGTTACTTATGTACAGAATAAGACTGCATGACTGCAGAAAATACATAACAAATTCAACAAAACAGTGCACATTCTATTTTTAAATATTGTGTTCTATATTCGTTTCTGAATGGCTGCCAAATTAGTTGCAGTTTCTAGATTAACAAAATATGATTTATGATAAGTGGGATATGACTGAAAAACTGACATATTACGGTATCATGCACTGTATCCAGCAGAAGCATCTTCAAACACAATATTTCTCTCTAACTAACATTAAACGGATTATTTTTATATCAATCATCTCATATTTGATTGATGACTGAAAACACAGCACTTGAAAACTAAAGATAACACTTTTTCACATTCTTTTGAAACTGAACATTCTCACTAAAATCAGAAAAATATAAGTAGCATTTGAAACAATTATTGTGAGTAAAGGTATTGGAAGGGTCTGCATATTTCAGGATCTAATAGGTTATGAGCCCAACCAAAATTAAAAAAAAAATTTCAGCATACCAGTTTTGCTAGTATAAGGAAAGCATGTAATTACCTAAATAAAAAAGGTATATTAGTGAAAATTTATGACAAACACTACGGTCAAAGTACAAGTTAAAAAATCTAAAAAAATTGTGGTGCAAATGTGTTGAAAACATAAAAGATTGGGCTAAAAGAAAAGTGATACCAGTTTCTTATAATGAAAAATTTAGTGTTGAGTTTTTCAATGTTTAAAATAGAGGCTTGACCTAATGTAGATTTTCTCTCAGCTATCAGGATAAACTTGCAAAATAGCCAACTTACCTTATTAAGTGGAAGAACTATAAAAGCGCCTCCTCCAGCGCTTTCTACGATGATAGCTAAGAATTTGGGGTTGACTGCACAGAATGTAGAGTCCCATGAACTTTTTGAAACACGTATGTTATCATAGCACTGCTCTCTTTTCAAAGCTTGGCCATAAACGTGCCGAAATTTAGAACTGCGTACCACCCGAAAGGACATCTGCAAATTACGGATAAAAATATTTATTTTTTATGAAATAAAATATAAAATTATTAAACATAACCTGACAAATATATGTTTTGGCTGTCGCTAATTTGCACTTACCTTATTAAATATGTACTGAAAATTCCTAAGCTAGTTGTGCTTCTTGTATTTACATTTATATTTTACATATATGCTGAATTTTTTAATATTTTCGCAAACACTTCATATCTAGTTCACTAGTTTTCAGAAATCCCCATATTTGGTTATGCGAAATTTTTGAAACGTCAAAATGCTTTACGGCGCTAACTACCGGGAAATTTGGGAACTATGTCGATAAGGTAGCAAACTCTTACCAAAAAGAGACTATGCTCAAGCTTTACGAAAGTTCCGCTAGATGTCTCTAAAAAGAAGAAATACAGATCCGTATTCTAAATTTTTGTAGGGTATAATGCTGTTGGAGCGAAAATGGCGGATAAGAATACGTGTTCCTAATGAGTATGTAACTGAAGATCTAGGGCTGCGTTCGTATATTGTTTGACGTAAATATAGGTACTGTTGCGTCTTATAGATTTCACTGTTTTTTCACTTGAAACTTATAGAGGGTAAAAGTGTGGATGAAGCACGCTTTTCATGAAATTTTTTCCCAAAACATTGTATTTTTTTAGCAGTTATTTCCCCCATTATTTCCACCACCATATGACGCTGACGTCTGTGGATATGTCATATTGTCATATATGAGAGGCGCTTGCCTGCGGTGCTGCAGGATTGGGGTCTGTATTTAGGAAAAAATATGAAAAGTGGAAAATTTATATACATTTATATTAATGATACACAAAAACAAAAAACTGAAACAAACAACACTAGTAAAATTAAAAGTAATTCTTACTAAGTATAAAACAAAAAATAACAAACAGCAGTAAAATAAAAAGCAATTCTAAGTGCTTATAAAAAAACAAAAAATTACAACAGTGGTAAAACAATTCCATTTAATTATAAAAAACAAAAAATACAGTACAATAAAAAGCAATTTGGATGGAATGAAATTATTCTTCGTTTTACTACTTTTTTTACTTTTTTTTTGTGTTGTCACTTAGAATTGCTTTTTATTCAACACGGAATTGTTTTTCTTTGTTTTACTACTGTTTATATTTTTTGTTTTTTATAATTACTTAGAATTGCTTTTTATTTTACTGCTGTTTGTTATTTTTCGATTTTTATAATTACATGGAATTAGTTTTTGTTTTACTACTGTTTTTATTTTTTGTTTTTTATAATTATTTATAATTTATCATTTTTTAGCTTACTACTGTTATTTTTTTATTTATACTTATTAGGAATCGCATTTTATTTTGCTACTGTTGTTTGTTTCAGTTTTTCGTGTTTGTGATTCATTAATTAATATACACTTGTATATAAATTTTCAACTTTTCAAATTTTTCCCTAAATCTGGAGCCCAATCCGGCAACACCGCAGGCAAGCGCCTCATATATGACATATGCACAGACAGATGGCGGTGGAGATAACGATGGAAGGAACAGCTAAAAATACAATGTTTTGGGAAAACATTTTCATGAAAAGCGTGCTTCATCCACACTTTTTTTGTTTTTAAATAATCTATCAGACTACAATCTAAAAGTTTTAAGAGAAAAAACAGAGAAATCGGAAGTTCTACAAGACGCAACAGCACCGAGTTCTGTCAGTTGTCATTCTCATGGTTCATTGTTTGCTTATTTTATTTGGTGATCAAAAACTTCTCAAAATTGGCAGAATATATATTTTTCATGATAATTGCTACCCCGTATCTCTAGGGTCTATTATAATAATAACAATGGTCGTAAAAAGCGTGGCTAGAAATTAGTCGGCTGTCATCAAGTGTCATTACAGTATCCCACAGTAAAATTTAATCTGTCAATCTACATTCCATTACCAAACGCACCCCAGCTCTGTGAATTAATAACTTACCGTTTTATGACAGTGACGTACAAGTCATGTAGTTCTTTTGAATTCGAATATTGTTGATTTTGAGCGTTTTTCAGTGTTTCTTTCTCTATTCTTCGGAATTTAAACTTTGCATTGCTAGTCACCGCAAATTTTAAATTAGTGGTATATTCAAAAAAAGTGCAAAAACACAAAAACACACCTTACCGGTTGTTTTGGAGGGAAAAAGTATGTATAGACACGCAAAAAGAATCACGAATAGAAAAGATAAGAAAACTAATAACAAGAAAAGAGCTATAAACCCGCCAAATATCACATCAAAACGCCTAACGGTAAGTTAATATTGCAATTTATCATTTTTGTTGTTAATTTCCTATAATCTTAGGTACCCCCAGGATTTTTATCACAAGGAATTGTATCCGACTCTGCAAGTAGAAATATGGGTATGAAAACATGAACTAATAAATTGTATATATAAATTCATTTCGTAAAATTTTAGCTTCAAACGACTTTGATCGTGACAAAGAGAATAAATGTATTTTGAAAGAGGATTTGCATGGTATCTTCAACCAATTTAAATCAGGCTGTAATGTGCAAAATCAAAGACGTTCTGCTAGAATTCAAAAGAAAAATTTGGAACAAGGCATCGACACTGCTATAAGTGCTGCAGATTATTGCAGCAAAATTTTAGATAGTTCTCCTCAATCTTCAAATAGCTATTCTAAGGTGCAAGAAAATTTACCGAAAGGCAAATCAAAAAGCATATTCAAAGAAATAAACAGAAAGTACGCTGGACTTGAGATTGCAAATAATCTACAATCCAGCAATTTAGAATACAGGTCTAAAAAGTTTACGATCGGCGAAGATAAAAGTGAATTTTGCAATTTGTTACAAGAGGATCTGTCGGTGCATATTAGAGAAGACAATCTCAGACTTTGTAAAAGAGCTATTAACAAAAAGATGGGAGAAATAAATGATGTATTACTTGGACTGAAGACACCTGCTGAACCCACGTTTGCAGACCCATCATGTGATGATGAAACACCATCAAAAGATTTAGAAGATCCTCTGCCTGGCTTCAGTTTCGTTCCAAGCTCCGAATGGGTCTATGAAACTCCGCCAAGAAGACCAAGACATGTGAATATTCCTAAATGTACAAATATGCAACCAGCGGTTCTATACAAACAAAATGATGGTGTCAAGATATATGAACTTGAGTCAAGCAGTCTATACAGTATGAACTCCGATAGAAGGCCTCTTGGGGATATAAAGAAAACTTTTGTGTTTGAGAAAAATTCACAGAACAACATGTTTGAAGATTTAGCATCGTTTGACTGCCATAACAACAGACATGATAAAGATGTAAGTATAAAACACTTTCTGTAGTTGTAATAAATCCAACTGAGCAAGTTTGGTCATTTTTTAAAGTAAGAAAGATTTTGTAATGGAGTTAGAGAATCTCTATTTATTGTATTACAAACTGAAATATCAAGATTTTTTTCACTATAAACATTTAAATATTTCTTTGGCACCAGCTTTTGATTCCCGTCGTCAACCCTTAGTAACTGTTTTTTTTTCAACGTCATTTTCCAAGCGCTTCCCACCGCGAAATTCTCAAGTTTTGGAAAAAGATGATGGTGCTAAGTCAGGGCTGTATGGTGGACGATCCGCTAATTCCCAACGTGTTCAGCAAGAGAAACTTTTTTAGCAGCTGAACCAAAACTCGTTTCAGGTTTTTTTTTTGAAGGTTCCTCGCTTTTTATAAAGTTTTGCGCACATACGAAGGTGGTCTGAAAAGTTTCCGACCTAACAAAGATAAATTGGTGGATTTTCGTCATCGCAACCGCTGAGGTGTGAGACGGTACGATGTCTTTGTGAGCAGGATTTTTCTGCATATGACGCCGTTTTCTGCAAGCTGTTCTTCTTTCCTTTTTGAAGATAATCGATTTATTTTTGTTTCGGGCGTATAATGGTGTGCAAATGAGCTTTTTTTTCAGTTACTGTCAGCCGATGCTGGGGTAGCAAAACATTCAGAGCTCTTGACCATACGTGTTATCATTTTGCGTTTTCACTGCGAACATAACACATTGAAAAATGTAGACGTAAACAAGCTTCCATTCTACATGTTTTATTAAATTTCATATGTCTTATTACCGTTTGAATAACAATATTTTTTGTTTTTAGTTCCATTTTATAAAACCATCAATGCCGCAACGAACCATAAACATCAGTCCCCCGCCAAAAATCACTAAATGGAGCAGCCACGATGAAACGGTGGTGCTCTCTGAATTCGGAACAAAGCATTGCGAGAGTCAAATGATCATCGACGATAATATCGGTCACGGTGAAGACATACCAGATGATGTCACAATGATCGAAGAAAACGGGAATTATCGTTTGACAAGTTCCCAAAACGCAGCGCCACCATTTAAGTTCACTTTTAATAGTCAGACTATGTTTGGGGAACATACTCAACCGCAAGGTTCGTTTGTGTTTAATAACAACCATGACATCGTATAAGGTTCCAATATGTATTTTTTCATTTTAGGTTTATAGATTGTTTTGTTTTGTTCTTATTTATCCTCATTATTAAATAATGGATTTGTGTTGTGCAATAACTTCGTTTCTGTATATGAAATATTTAAATAAATATAAAACATGTTATTTTTTCTTTTCTTCGCCCAGTTATACTTAAAATAATCAAAGGGTCATTTAGAAGAAGTAATGAAAAAATAGCAATTTATTTCTAAGATAAAAAGTTCCTCAAATAATAACGATAAAAGTTGACATCGTTTAAGGTTCCAATATAAAGTATTTTTTTATTTTAGGATTAGAGATTGTTTTTGAGTTCTTATTTATTCTCATTATTAAATAATGGATTTGTGTTGTGCAATAACTTCGTTTCTGTATATGAAATATTTAAATAAATATAAAACATGTTATTTTTTCTTTTCTTCGCCCAGTTATACTTAAAATAATCAAAGGGTCATTTAGAAGAAGTAATGAAAAAATAGTAATTTATTTCTAAGATAAAAAGTTCCTCAAATAATAACGATAAAAGTTGACATCGTTTAAGGTTCCAATATAAAGTATTTTTTTATTTTAGGATTAGAGATTGTTTTTGAGTTCTTATTTATTCTCATTATTAAATAATGGATTTGTTTTGTGCAATAACTACGTTTCTGTGTATGAAATATTTAAATAAATATCGAACATGTTATTTTTTCTTTTCTTCTCCTAGTTATACTTAGAATAATCAAAGGGTCATTTAGAAGAAATAATAAAAAAATAGCAATTTATTTCTAAGATAAAAAGTTCCTCAAATGATAACGATAAAAGTTGACATCGTATAAGGTTTCAATATAAAGTATTTTTTTATTTTAGGATTATAGATTGTTTTTTAGTTCTTATATATCCTCATTATTAAATAATGGATTTGTTTTGTGCAATAACTACGTTTCTGTGTATGAAATATTTAAATAAATATCGAACATGTTATTTTTTCTTTTCTTCTCCTAGTTATACTTAGAATAATCAAAGGGTCATTTAGAAGAAATAATGAAAAACTAGCAATTTATTTCTAAGATAAAAAGTTCCTCAAATGATAACGATAAAAGTTGACATCGTATAAGGTTTCAATATAAAGTATTTTTTTATTTTAGGATTATAGATTGTTTTTTAGTTCTTATATATCCTCATTATTAAATAATGGATTTGTTTTGTGCAATAAACTACGTTTCTGTATATGAAATACTTAAATAAATATCGAACATGTTATTTTTTCTTTTCGTCGCCCAGTTATACTTAGAATAATCAAAGGGTCATTTAGAAAAATAATGAAAAAACAGCAATTAGAGACAGGTACATAACCAACAGAAAAAAATAATGTCCCGTCTTCATCTTCGTTTCCTCAGGTTACACCTCTATGCGGATGCATGCGCATGTGAACATTAGAACCGTGAGCAGAATAAGAAGTCATGTCCTGACTCCTTACCATAAATCAAGAATTGGAGATGATCCACATCGCATTTGCGGAAATATAGGAACCATACAGCACCTCTTATATTAGAATATACAATTTCTAATAGAGAAAATACTGAACTGTACCAAATTTTATCGAAACACCTTCCTTTGCCTCTAATTTTAGATACAGTTCTGAGAACCAGCAAGTTTTTTGTACAAGCATTGTCGGAAAATAGGCTTAACATTATGAGATGTAAATTACAGTGAGTTTGTTTGAAAAAAATGAAGAAAACAAGGGAAAATTAAAAAAAAACAAATAGATCAGTATAAAGTAAAAATATATTGAAATAAAAAAAAACAATCAAAAGAAAAAAATCTTGAGAACAAAGTGGAAAAAAGGAAAACATAATCAAAATGTATTGGTAGTATAATAACTAGTTGGTGTTGAAATAAATTCATTCATTAAAAAATATTTTGTGCCAAAATTAAAGGACATACTTTATTAGCTTGAGAAGAAAATGCTTTCTCTGTGCCAAGACATACAAGCTATTGCTTCTTTCGGAAATATCATCATTGCACTGACGTGAATCTCATTTTGATGCAAGTACTTGGGTATTTATTTTTTATTATTATGATGGAGACATAATCCAATTGGAACAAACAAGAACGGGGTTAGATTTGGATTGTTTTTATTTTGTGTTTTAACTGCAGAGGGAATACTTCTTGAACCTTGCCTGGGTCAACATAAAGATTCATAGAGGTAGATTTTGGTCACTAAAGATTTGATGAGAAACATACATGACACACATAGCTACACCTTGGAATTTAAACTGCATTTCAGAAACAAGTAATGTATATATTTTTATCTAATTACATAATACTTTTATAGACCAAGAAAAGTGTACATAATATTAAAAAATCAAGAAAACATACGTTCGATTTTTGTCATTTTTTAACATCGTTATACCTAACAGCAACCCTAATGGCATTTCTTCAATTTTACAGAGTTCGACGTACAGGATGTTCCTTATAAGTTCACAGCCAAAATCATACCATTCACAAGACATTAGGGTGTTATTGCTCTTACTTTCAACATTTTCTTTGAGGTTCAACAGAAAAATAAAACTTAATCGGAACATCCTGTTATAGGTCTGTGTGAACAAATAAAAATAAACTGCAAAAATGTCTGTCTTAAGAAAAGACACTTTTATTAAAGCAGTTTGATACGCGTTGTTTCAATCGCAAGCTAACTGCAAATTCATTGCTAACTTCAAGTTGACTCTCAGTTAATGGTTTTCAATGTCAACTTTACTCTAATACAACGTTAACATGAAACACTAACACCGAGCATCACGAAACGCACAAATTAAAAACAAAGTCGCATCAGCATTTATGAGTTTGTTAACCAAAACTTGAAAACGAATTTCTGGGCAACTGACAGCCAACTTTAAAGTTATCACACCTCACATTAAAGTTAACCTGGGATTGCAAAACTGAACGTAAATTGGATCGTGAAATATCTCGCGTGGTATCACCACGGAAAATTCTCATTCATTTTGTTCACAGAGACTCCATTCAAAAGAATCATTGAGGAAATTGTCTCGCAATTAAAAGGAAAACTATAAAATAACTTTCTAGTACATATCCTACCGACTATTACTTTGTACATTAAGTATTTAAAAATAAAAGCAGAGAAAGACAGCTAGTGAGACATTTCTGTATTTTGTCTAATATTATGTGCAAAACGTATAATCTCTATGTTTGTCATATAAATATTTCATTATTTGTTGTGTCTGCTTTGAATTGACATCATTGGTTTAGTATAAGAGACAACTAACCAGAACACCAGCTCAATTTTATCGAAGTAAAACAGATTTTTGGCAATTTGAGTAAACGACTAAAAAACAGCCCAAGCATTTCACTTGGACCATAAGCAAATGTAACGAATTATATGTTAGGAATTTGAAAAAAGAAACATTGGTCCACGACATGACCTTTTCGGTCTGCTGCATTTTTCCAAATAAGTGACCATCTTGACACACGAAAATGATTTTTTAGCTTATAACGTTTATTTTTAAAATGTCATAGTAGCACATACATAATAAATATAAAGTTTATGCTAATAGTGATTGGTTAGAGTTTATTGGCAAATAGGCACTTGGGAGCAAAAAAATATCGATAAGTTAAGGAAAAATAGAGAACCGTAAAAACTGCCATTGAGCATGTGCAGTGGAGAAAACATGTTCGCAAGGGTAAAACGTAGTTGGGGATTTAGTCTAATCATATTAGACGAAAATACCCCTGGTTTGCGAAATAATTGCAAAGTCTGGTTTTATTGCTGCAAGTTGTGGGTACACCAGTTTTTGTGGGAACATTTTTTATTCGATAACAAAGAATGAGAAAAATTGTTTTTGGGGATTCAATCGAAAGTGTTGGCAGGAACGAAAAAACCCTTCCTATAAGATTTTTTTAGGTATTTACGAGACTTGCAAGATGAGGCACTTGAAAAGATCTGACTAATAGTTATGGCCGAATACCGAGGCAAACTGCAGGTTTTGGCACTTGTTGGTAATGCGACGATGGTTCAAATTTGGAGGATTCGTACTTCTAAATACTCACAACAAAATTGGAGTAGTTTTTGAGAATCTTTAATTGTTTATCCCAAAACACCTGTTGTTTGTACAGGATTAGTTCAAAGGGCATTTTATAGCAAAATACACTAGTTTACCATGCCGATATGAATCGGAAACCATTCCAGAACATAAAAGATATTTTTATTCAAAAAAGGATGGGTTACGTTTTTTCTTCTAAACAAATTGAAACATTTTGTATGCGTGAGTAATTTGCAACAAAAGATGATAGACGCATCCGCTTTGTTTTAAAATGTGTATAGGTTTGTTTTTCGAATATCGTAGCGCATTTGTTCAATTACTCACAAACACGAAATGTTTGAATTTGTTTAGAAGAAAAAAACGTAACCTTTGTTTTTCGCATAAAAATAACATTTATCTTTCGGAATGGTTTGTTATTCATATCGGCAAGGTAAACACATGTATTTTGCTATTAAATTTTCTTTGAACGAAGTTTTTTCATTTCTGTCAACACTTTCGATTGAATCCCAAAAAACGCGTTTTCTCTCATTTTTTGTTGTCGAATAAAGTTTTCTTACAAAAACTGGTGTACCCGTTTTATGCGTCCATGTTTCAAATACCGCCCTTGAACAACTTGCACCAATAAAACCAGAGTTTACAATTATTTTAGGGAAATTTGCTAATATGATTAGAATATTATGAACTGGCAGTATAATGTATCAACTGAGGTTTCTCTCCATTACTTCAAGTTCTAAAAATTTTATCAATACAGGATCATAAACTGAAACAGTTTGGAAATACATACCTCGCGTTATTATTTCAAAAAAATACAATTTCTAGGTAGGACTTGTACTTCGAACATTATTTTCAATTTTCATTGACCAAAAAAACTGCAAAGGCATGCACTGTTCTGTATTTGAATATAGTATGAGTAATTTTAAATAAGTGTTGTCTTGCAGAGAGTTAAAAAAATGAGTTACATTGATCTAGTCTAACGTACGGCACAATGACAACTCTAACCTTTGATAGTCCTTTGTATATGAAGAAAATACTGTCCACCAATTAGGCTCTTCTATTTACCTCACATCTTAATCACAATCACATGTTTCGGTACAGTTGTTCCGTTACAAAGTTGCCAATAAATCTGCGAAAAAAGTGAAATCATTCTATTTTTTTAACAGTTGTTTATACAGCGTCTTTCCCGATTGAATATCAACATTTAAGAGGGCGATTTTTGGGTCAATTTCAAGAAGAAATATTCATATGATCATATGTCATGAAT